ACCAAGCAGTGATGGCATTACTACGTTTCGATTTTGAAGGGTAAGTACGAGTCGTCACTTCATCCGTTTCGTATTAGAGGGTCTACTCTCGATCTCCGTCCGAAACAATTATTGTCAAATAAGTAATATTCGACAAAATTAAAAGACAATTATCCAGTATGAAGCTTTATTCGCATCACGCGTCTTTTCATTTAATCAAGTATTGCTTATTTGACAGTAATTGTTTAGGATGGACGTCGGACGGAGATCGAGAGTAGACCCCCAGTTCCGAATTGGATTAATGAATTGAGGTCATATGCGCACTTATTATTTATTAAAAAAAGTTACCGTCCGAAATGTCAGAGTGATCATTTTATCTCTATGTGTATAAGCGATATTTGTATTTTCTCGGATTAGAATCGGACTTAGTGCACAAGCGACATCCGAAGTGGGTCCGACTTATCTAGATTTGTGTAGTCTCTGATTCGGAATGAATACCAATCAGATGCAGTATGCAAACGAGCTAAGGGTGCTGGTGAAATTACAGATACATGGGCCTTGTCAACTTATGTCCCAGGATGACGGGCGCATTGGCAATGCCCGTCAGATCTTTGTAACTGCCTCCTTGGCCGAACAGTTTATAGTAGCAGTAGAGCTACTTGTGAAAGAGTTCGTCCAGGGAAGTACTGCCACCTTACCTATTTCTGCCGCCAAGCAGTAATGTCAGCTTTACTGTGTTCAAATTCGAAGGGTATAAGGGTGCTGGAGAAATCACAGGCACATGAGACTTGTCAACTTACGTCTCAGGGTGACAAAGCCCCTCAGATCTTTGCGACTCAAAGCTCTGAGTGGCACAACAAGTTTTATGGACAGGCGTGTAGCTTACCATTAGGCGCACGACTTGTTCGTCCCGTCACTTGATATTATAAATAAAAAAAATAAAAAATCATGCTGAGCAGCCACGCAGAGGTCCCGGGTTTGATTACCGAGCCGGGAGAAATATTTGTATGACCTATGTATATACTGTCCATGGCACCCGGGATACAGGATCTCCCCAGTGCAGTCTATGAGGATGTGCGTTAATAAAAATAAAAAAAGAATAAAAAATATATAAAAATGCTCTTTTACCGTCATGGACAGGCGTGTCACTTACTTCCAGGTGCACAACTTGTTCATCCCGTCACTTGGTATTCTAAATAAAAAGTGTAGGATCGTAGTAAATGTAAGGTGTCTCCGTCTATTCCGTTGAGAAATGGGCGTAAAGTGTATGCATGTACATAATATAGTACATAATAAATGTGATCTTAAACCTTCCGTTGTTTTCTATCGCTGAACAAGGTGGTCTCCGGGTTCGATTTCCAATAAGACAAGGAAACGAACTTTTCTAAATTGATTTTAGTGTAGGTTTTCTAGACAGTACACCGGAGTCACTTTTGTTGCTCTCGTACTCATAGTACAGAAAATATTCTAGTTTGTGGAAAAATAATCGGTTTGTTTTTCAGGCGCATAATTATCATTATTTTTAGAATTTGTTAAAAAGGAAGTTAATAAAATAGCGAATTGTGTACTCAACGGTACCGGCAACTTGTAACGCAGGTTGATTAAAAGCTCTAGAAGTTGAGGTAGAGTGAAGCCACAGGAAGCCACTGTTAATTAGTTTTTAATTAAACATAAGTTATTTGCGCAGTTTGCAGTTCTGTGTAGACTTGTGGCAGGTCCGGACTAAACTTTAAAAAAAGTATATTTTTCACTAACTAGTTCTTTTATAATATAAACGACGAACTCGGTGGCTCAATGGTTTGCGCTGTGAACGCTGAAGTTACGGGGTACGATTCCCTGTAGGATCAATTTACGTAATGAACTATTGTAAATTGCTTCTGGTCTGGATGTTAATTTAACTGCCTCGCTGATTTGCCACGCAAAAATCCTGAGTTCGATTACTAGGCCGAGAGAAGTATTTTTAAGGCCTACCTTTATTTATCTCGTGAATTAGGATGTAATTTGTGGTTGCCTAAATGTGTGTCCATAGCACCAGCGATACAGGGTTTCGCTAGTGCGGGGCTAGGAATGTGTGCGTTATTATTATTATTATTTAATTCAGTTGCTCTGGTACTTAAGAGGAGTACGGGGAATTTCCTACTTTGAGACCAGGTAATTGGAGTAGTTTGAAAAATATATCAGGTTGGTATCAGGTACCTATCCAAACTGCTAGACATATGTAAATTTTATAAAGTGCGAGTTTAGTTTCCTATTGCATTTGCGTCAATGCAATATGAAACTTAGCAATTAACTTTATATTTTAAGTAATCCTCCTCCTCCTCGCGCCGTATTCCTCATTATTGAGGGTCATGACTCCCTCGCACAAAACACTTCCTGCACTGCGCCGTCTGTCTGTCTGTCGTCTGTCTTTGGCATAGTGGAGCGCATCATGGAGCCTCACGCTGACAGCTGTACAGACTTGGTCGGACCATCTTGTGGGACAGCGAGCCCCCGGAATGTAACTATTAACTGTTCCAGATTGTGCCCTTCTTTGTTTGCAATTTTAAGTAATATACACATACTATAACAGTGCCCTAATACAGAAATCGGCACAGGTATAGAATTTCACTTTACATTTTAAAACTATTCCAAAACCTAAATATCGATTTGGTTTCCAAATAATTACATTTGCTTTAAAGTATGTCGAAACAGTCATTGTTTAGTTAAATAATTTTCAAGAGTATGCAAGCACTTTGTATGTTTTCTTTATTTACTTTTTTATTACTTGCAAAAGCATTAAGCATAGTTTTACTTACTTAAACCTAAATAGATTTCTCCTCTAACAAACTCCTCTAACAATCAATCCAATAACAATTAACATAGAACAACATTTTTTTTAATGTAAACATAATACGAAAAAATTACGAATATATAACAAAAAGTTACAAACACCAGCTCACCGCCGCAGCAAATTGCGCGCGTTGCATGGAAACCGGTTCTACTCTCAACGCTATACGCGAGCATGTAAGCTGTTCGGAATCTATCTATAATGTGCCACTACTACTATGCACGGATTACTTCCAAAGAAAAACAGAGTTAGTACATAACAAGAGTTTAATAATGATAACAATCCAAACTAATATTATAAATGCCAAAGTAACTCTGTCAGTTACGTTTTCACGCCTAAACCGCTGAACCAATTTTAATTAATTTTGATACAAAGATAGATGGGACCTAGGAGACGGATACAGGCTACTTTTTATCACCAAAATAATTCTTAAAGGGGTTGAAATAGGGGATGAAAATATGTATGGAAAACCATACAAACTTTCCACACCACATAAAATTAAGCAAATGAGTATAGTAAAGTAGGCTACTCGAAGTACTTATTCTACGCAGATGGAGTCGCGGGCACCAGCTAGTAACAAATGTTTTTTTTTAATACCGGCTGAACTATCAAAAATAATAGAAGATAGAAGACGTAATAGATTCTCATCACAACAGACCCTAACCCCCAACGTGTATATACACCATACCGAATTTACTTGATGTCGGTCACAAAATTTCTTTTTTTTACAATACCAAGTGACGGAACGGACAAGTCGTGTACCTGGTGTTAAACGATACGCCTATCCATAACAGTTGCAGTGCCACTCAAAGCCTTAAATAGCAAAGATTTTCAGGGCACTGCCACTGCGCCCGTCACGCTGGCCAGCGTGGCGGACTACAGCCTAAACCCTCGTCTGAAAGGAGACCCGTGCCCGTGAGACATATAAATGGGTTGAAGATGATGATGAAATATCATATCAAACTTTTCAGAAGTCAAAATCGAAACTGACTGATCTATTTAACTGATAAATAGATTGATGCTAAAGTTAATAATTTCTTGTGACTTTAAATAAATTATTTTTATAAATCTATCAAAGTTTCTTATTTTCTTTGTACGTAATTATTACTACATTAATAGATTTCAGTACACCCTATATAGAAGTTGTCAAATCCCAATTGCTGGCTGTTGAACAATTTTCTAAATAATAAAACAGTCAAATTTGGTCAATAGAAATAGCTGAATTCAAGAGCGGTGGTAACCCAACGACAGAAAGGTGGCTTCTCCATTGAGACCGCCACGATTCGAATCTCTGTGACGGCATGACTTTACTTTATTAGTTAGGTACATTTGTGCATGTTTGGCAGCAATACCTAGAGCTGACAGTGAAGAAAAACATCTTAATGAAACCTGCATATCAAAGAAGGTTCACAACCCTTTGAAAACATCACGTCTCTAACCTACATTAGTTCAGTATATAGGACAATGACCAAACCCTCTCCATATAATGAACATGTGCCCAGCAGTGGAACATTTAATAGGTCAAGACAACTCTTTATTCGTATTAAACTATTTAATTAGTGATCACCTTATATAGATTATATCACAAAATATACCTATGTAGACACATAATCCGTCACTATACGTTTGTTCCAGTCGATATCAACACGAGAATCGGCGAATTGCAAAAGGAAAAATCTAAATCCCAACAAAACAAAGAGCTCATGGACCGCGTACGGTACAAGGTCGAGGCTTTCAGGAAAATTATGGTTAAATGACGACGAGCTCAGAGCTCGGGTGTGGGTCGAACCTCTTCGCCCAACACCCGCCGCAATGGAGCAACAACAAACCTTCCAAGACCTTGTCTTGACCGTGAAAAGCAAATCAACTGACATTGGTGGGGATTAAGCAATAAAAGAGCTTTTAGCGCACACAGCTTAACGCTACCAACATCTGTATTACTCCAGTTGCAGCTACCTTTAACCCTTATTTACATAGAGTAATAAGAGGAGAAATCTAGATGGGATCGGATAGGAATTGTTTGATACGGAACGATTTTGGAAAAGAACGTACCTGATATAGATGTCTCGTTCGCACGAATTGAAGGTCGGGGTGAGAGAGTGAGCACTGAACTCGCGACGAGTGACAGCGACGGGCGGCGGCGACAGACTGAGTCGGCCCGGCCGGGAGCCCCGCCTCCCGCGCCTCGCTCCGCACTCCGCACCCTAGCGGATAAACAACGTGCATTGTGGGCCCGATCTCTGGAGCTACTCTACTCGCTACGCAAGTACACGCCTCTTGCGATATCATAAACTCATTTACATACCATTGCCGAGTATACTGGAAATACCATTCAGGTTAGATAAAGAAGCAACGCAATGGATTGCAAATATGATAACACGTAGATCATCAGTCGCAAAGGAGGTGGGTACTAAATGAATTTGTTGCCCAGATAGTACTCTAGCGTTATAGATTTTGGATTTAAGTCTCACGGTTGTACAGTATAAATCCGGGAAAGTGATAATAAACAAAGACAGGTCTAGGTAACTCTATGTTAACTTTCCTACGTAAATTCACAAAATATTTAGATACATAATCAATGTATGGAATCTGTAGGAAATGCTTAGTTTTATACGAATAAAATACGGCAAATAAATCCAGTTCATGATCGTCATACAAAAATCATTTAAGAAATAAAAAGTCGGCTACGATATGCCGAGGTCGCTGGTTCGTGTGTAGCTAAATCGAAGGATTTTTTTATTTTGATGTTTGTATTAATAATTGTGACAAACTAGTGGAGTTATTTTGCAAAAATAATTGAATATCATGATAGTAAAACATCGCAATGCTTAATAAACTTAATATGTATAATATTAGCACTGACAGCACAGTTGTAATCAACGATATAAACTTCTAACATATAGAAAGTAACCTTGGCCATCAAATTCGCCTGCAAATGATTTCTGAAAACTTTTTAGGAGAGAGCTTTGAAGATTCTACGGACGTACGTACGATTTAGTAGCAGTAGAGCTTCTTGGAGTTCGTCCAGGGAAGTACTGCCACCTTACCTATTTCTACCACCAAGCAATAATGACAGCAAAAGGTAAGGGTGCTGGTGAAATTACAGGCACATGGGACTTGTCAATTTATGTATGAGTGACGAGCGCAGTGGCAGTGTCCCTAAGATTTTTGCGATTTAACGCTCTGAGTGGTACTTCAACTGTTATGAGTAGGCGTGTGTCGCTACCACCAACCGCATGACTTGTACCTCCTAACACGTGGTATTATAAGAAAAAGAACAAAATTAGTCGATGAGTTTTTTATGCTTAAATAGGAAATTATGAGAGATTATGGTTTTTTATGCTTAAATAGGAGACTTATTAACTTTCGCACATACATAATTTGTGCGATCAAATAATTGAATAACAATTCAATTAAAATTTAAATACAATGAATAGCGACATCGCTAGCCAGGGGCTGGTAGCTGTAAAGGTATCTAATTACGTGACGAAATATCATAGATTTCTCATAAATGGCGCTACGGCTAAATAGTCGCCGAGAAACCAAATACAAAGATACGACGCAAGCACAGAAAAATTCGTGAGGTGCGCTGGTTCGTTCCGTGACTTAGTTGGTACAGCGTTTGGCACGGTATGCTAGAAGTTCGAATCCGGCCGGATCGAAGGAATTTTTTTCTGAGTTTTCGATCTTTGTATTAATAATTACAACAAACTAATTGAGTATAGTATAGTATTTCACATAAAATAATTGAATATCAATTCAATAAGTACATAATTTCTTTCGTGTAGTATACATATTATTTGTGTGTCTTTCATATGAGGATATGATTTGACGTGTGGCTTTTTTATACCAAGGGTACGAAATATAAGCCAAAAAATCGAAACAATTTTCTAAATAACAATAACTAAACTTGTCGTCTAAAAGCATAACGTATTGAAATTAACTACCTCCGTGGCCGAAGGGTTACCATGCTGGACTACCAGAGGTCCCTAGTCGGGAGAAATATTTGGTATCGCCTACATTTATTTCCTCGTGAGTTTAGGTGTAATTTGTGGTTGTCTATGTGTGAGTCCATGGCACCCGCGACATAGGGTTTCCCTGGTGCGGAATTGTGAATGTGTGCGTTGTTGTTATTGTTATTAAAGTAACTGGAGTTATACCATAGCATAATCTGACAAGTATGGTAACTCTATACAAACGTACTAGCGCGGTTTGTATGTATGCGAGCCCGCCGCATATCGTATACAAACGCACACATTCACATTCGCATAAATTCGCGATGCTCTCGCGTTGCATAGCGCTGCACCGTCACATGCACCTTTCATTATTATATGAATGTGTGTGTTCGTACACAGCGCGCGGACCGCGCTGCTGCGTGTGAATGGCGATGGCGTTACTGTACATGTTCTATTACACTACGGACATATGTCAAAAATTAAAGCAATACAATAATCTTTGATGTCAGAGGTGTTACTACTCTACGTGAACTATGCCTGTTACCAACCCAGTTCAGAACGGACGCTCCCGATATGGTCCAGCGGCATAAAAAAAGTGTACGTCGAAGAAAATATGCCGAAGTCTTAGAAGACTTGTAACACTTTTCATTAATAAAAATGGAAATTGCATTCATTTCCTATTTTTTCCTACGTTTTTTTCGGTCTAGAGTCGAACAATCAACCCCTGAGGATGCCTCGAAAAGAAACACGGGTCGGGTATATTTTTGGTGATGGTATTTGTGACTGTTGTTGCGCTTGTGTTTATGGAGGGTGGGAAAATTAACTGCATGAAAAAAAGATTCTATACAAGCGCAGTTATTTTGCATGATTTAATCTTCACTGGGTTTGCGGAACAGCAAATTAATTTATTTCCATTTTTATTAATATAGATTTCCACAAAGTACGTAAGCCTGAATTTTTTTAAATTTATTACTAACTGCCTCTGTGGCCTAACCATGATAGTCTACCACGCAGAGATCCTGGGTCCGATTCTCGGGCCGGGGGAATTAATATATGTATGGCCTTTATTACATTTATTTCTCTCGTGAGTTTGGGTGAAATTTGTAGTTGTCTCTGTGAGTATTCATGGCACCCGCGATATAAGGTTTCCCTAGTGCAGGGCTATGAGTCTGTGCTTTATTATTGTTATGTATTTATTTATTGCCAATTAATTACATTGGCACATACAAACGATTATTAGAACATTTAGAAACCTTTAAGATAAATCTTGACATAAAGTCAATGATGCATGTCTACATCGACAATACATAAAATCGTGTCATTATAAAGAAAAATACTAAACTATAACAAAGTGTACTATGTGTACTATACCAGAATAAAGTATTCTTAAGTAAAAAAAAATTTGGATTTAATCGACAAGCGTGTTACGAAGTCGCATAGCCTTGAACACCGCCATAAAGTTGCCTGCTTATCGGTATTTTACAGGATATGTCACGGAGAGTGTTCGATGGAATTGCATAATTTGATTCCACCTTCCCCTGTCCATCATCGGGGGACTAGATTTGGGCTGGGATTCCACCCCTATGTTGTAGATATTCCCAGGATTCGCACGAAGCGTTTCGCTTCCACATTTATATGGCGAGCGACTAAAAGATGGAATTCCCTACCTGCGTACTTATTCCCCGAACGCTATAACTTGGACCTTTTCAAGGCGAGAGTGAACTGACATTATTTAGGTGTGCATGCTACATCGTCAACCCCATCATCACTTTCCATCAGGTAACATCCATCTCACCTGATGGAAAGTAGTTATGGTCAAAGGCGCACTTATTTTTTATAAAAAAAAAAAGCAACAACTGTACTGTGGTATATACATTTCTAAGCTTTTATAGCATTTAAAGTGTTTAAAAAATGAGTTTTCGATTTCATATTAATTGTCGTAATACTTTTTCATTTGGAAGGTAATCACTTTGCATTAATGTTAATTTAACGACTTTAATTAAAATTCCATATTTTGAGCACGCGTTACACAAGTAAACGTGTCCTCATTTAAATTTTCAAGCCCTTTATATGTAGCAACTAATTTCGCAAGCTCAAGGGACTCACTATTATGTAAGTCGTACTCCACTTGAAATGTAACAAGAACAGTTTAAAAAGTAATCTGTCGCAGTGTCGGTGCAACAACTCACGCCCAACTGAAACTAAGGGACGGAGCTAGACTGGAACAAACTTGTTTGCTCCCAATTGTACCTCAAACTGATATCCAGTGAAACAAAACGCTAAGAACAGCCATGAGTCATTTGTTTAATAGATATGGTAATGTTAACCCATTAAGGATATCACGAGAAGTAGCAATAAAAAATACTTCTAGCAAGTTGGCTGATGAATTCCATTTTAGCAAAATAATATCTTGTGCTAGGGGACCCGCTGTTCCATTTTAGATTGAAATTACAAAGAAAATAGTCTAATATGTGTGTGTGTGTGTGTGTGTGGTGTGTGGTGTGTGGTGTGGTGTGTGTGTGTGTGTGTGTGTGTGTGTGTGTGTGTGTGTGTGTGTG